TATGTCGCCTTCAAGCGACGAGAGCCGTACTACCTAGCGAGGCCAGTAGCATGTGTAGTGGGAGTAGCCATCGGGTGAGCCCTTTAGCTGTGAAGGCTAGAGTGGATACTCCCGAGAGGCTGTATGAGTGGTTGAAGAAGTGCAAACACTGCAAACTGGTAGTATTGGAGTCTTCCTAGTATAACGAGTATATGTTGCATATTATAGTAGTAGTATATGTGTCATCACAATTAGGAGTAGTTTTGAACGATAAGGAGCGTGACCGTTGGAGCCCACTCCATCGAATTCATCGTCGTATATGAATATTAAACCATCGTACTTGACGAGTTCTCTTCGATGGTAGTGTATGTGTAGGGTTTTCAGACTGGCATTGTTAGAAGGGTTGGGGTTTCGCCGCCGAAGTGATAGTTGGGAATTTTCAAGAACTTGATTCCGATCAGGTCCATACGGAATTGCCAGAGTTGGAGTGCGAGATAGTCGACGTTAGCATGCTGAAACGCAAGTCTGAGGATAAAGTGTAGTGGCCTTGGAAGGCTGCGGGAAGGATGCCAGGCGCAGGTACCTGAAGAACGACCTATTGCACTGTGTGCTACGGAGAGGTCTGTCGTTAGCATTGATAACAGGGGAAGGGAATAAGAAAAGGAGACTCACTGGGGAGGTAGTACTCGCTGATAGATGGAGTGGTAGGTGAGAGTGCAGGGGGCTGATGATGATGCGGCGAGGGATGAGGCCCTGAAGGTGGTCTTATTACGACAGGGCTTGCCTAAGTTCTTTGATATTGATGTTGATGATGACCTTACTGGTACGACGGGGGACTGCGCCGCGCTCTTGATGGTTCAGGGTAGATTTCCGGGTAGGGCTACTCTTGCATGCTGTTTCGAAACCCTTGCTGTATAAAATAATGAGTCTCATGAATTTATATGTAATACATTGTTCTGGTGATAAGAGTGCTTAGGCTGTTGACAGATTTGCCATCGCTAAGGTAGGGATCTAGGCGTGCATGAAAATAAGAATTCCGGAGGTCGTTGTGGCGTTTTTGGTATTGTAGTTGTTTATTATGCCTCAGAGCAGCAGTCAGAGAAGCCATCGTGGTTGAGGAAGCGTTTAGCGGAGCGATGGCCGACTACTCTCTATCTATTGGATAAGGCGAATGGGGAGAATGCGCAGGTACGTAGGGGACTTTCAGTGGGGGGAGGTGTGCACATGATCAACTACATGTATGGGGAAAAATCTGGAAATTTCGGGAAATTCTTATTCGTTTCTGAACATTTCTACCATAATTTGTATATAAACTCGTGTAATTAGTGGGAAAGCTAATGACGAAAGTGGACGCATATTTCCAGCAGTTGTTGTATTGTAGGTTTCGTGGTCGGTGGACTTGTCAGCTTGGGTCATCTGTTCTAAGAACGTCTCGTTGGTCGCCAGGGAGGCGGCTGATCTTAAACGGTGAGTCCCGAGGTCTCGAGTTCGATCCCCGGGGAGGGCATTTTTTTGCAGATTCGGCGAGGATCGCTTCGAATATGCTCAACTCGTCGCCCAAGCATGGTT